TAAACGTGTGAAATATATGTGTGAAGTGTGTGTGTGTGTGTGTGTGTGTGTGTGAGAGAGAGAGAGAGAGAGAGAGAGAGAGAGAGAGAGAGAGAATGAGAATCATGCCTGTGCAATCAGTATCTCATATACCTATCAATTTAATCCTTGAACTTCTCCCTATGTTTGGGTTTGACTGACAAAATTAGATTCAAGAGTATTGCTTATCTAACAGAACACAAAATGCACATGGCTACAAATGCTCCCTTTTCCTAAAATGAACTGCAAAAAACCCTCCTAGCCTGGGTTGCTGAGGGAACTATGGTCATCCACATCCATACTATGGTCATCCATCATTATACTACTCCAAGTACTTTTTACTTTGCCCTACTTTTTTCCCTTTAAATGGCCAGTTACTGCTCCAATTAGAGAATAAGACCAAGGTAAACATACTTTGAAAAAGTTCCACAAATGACTCTGACACACAGTTAAGGCAGAGAATAACTGTCAGGCAATCATCCAGAATAAAACTGGAAACTTCTTGATGCCGCATGGCAAGTCTGTAATCTCAAGTATTTAGGAGGCTGAGGCCAATCTGTGCTTTTTGTAGGGACCCAGTCTGAAACACTAAACTATACAACAACCAAAAGTCATTTGTTGAATATACATGTAAGGTATATATGAACTTATAAAGACACAGAACTTAGCATAGGTATGCTTGAAAAATAAATTTTAACCACTTCTCAGCCTTTTGGCAAAGATCAAGTGTAGTTTTAGGTAAATATCTCATCTTAACAATATAATACTTTCCCTAAAAATATACTACAGGAGTCATCATTTTAGTATCAAATACCTGTAATCGAGCACTTAGAAGGTGGAGGCAGAAGGATGGGGAGTTTAAAGTCATCTCTGGCTATACAGTCAGCTTCAGTGCAGCCTAGGTTTGTGAGCTCCTGTCTCAAAACACAGAAACATAAATAATACAAAATTACTTTAAAAACCACTAAATCCCATTTTCTAAAATTCACTACAGATATTTGAGGATTCTTGTGTCACATTAAGAATGACCATAGGGACAGAATGGTGATGGCGCATGCCTTTAATCCCAGCACTCAAGAGGTAGAGGCAGGCAGAGGGATCTCTGTGTTTTCAAGGTCAGCCTGGTCTACAGGGCAAGTTTCAGGGCTACACAAAGAAATCCAAAAATGATCATAGGGATAGAGATGTAACTTGGTGGTAGCATTCCACTACCCTAGCATGCATGAGGCCCTAAGGAAGCAAGGCACATACATCCTATGTCTATTGTGGCTATTTTCACTCCATTATCAACCAAGGCTACAAAAATGCTAAAGGAAACCCTTAATCTTAAAATTGATAGTTAAAGTAAAATTTTAAATTAAATAAAATTCAGAATTCTCAAATTGAAGTAACAATTTCACTGTATGTTCGCTGATGAGATAATATGAATTTCCAGGAAACAAATTTGTTTTCATTTCAGGAATGTAAAAGCTGTCTCATTATTTTTGTCATAAATTCACTAATCTATCACTCTGAATGTATTGTTAGACATATGGAAGACACCTATCTTCCATGGCTAATCAAGTTATTTTTCAAACGGCAGACTATTTTGATAGTCTTACAAACCAAACTAATTTAAAGCTACTCTGGTACAGCCAGCAAACTAAAGGCTCTAAATTTTTTAAAAATAGTAGCCAGGCAGTGGTGGCACACACCTTTAATCCCAGCACTCATGAGGCAGAGGCAGGTAGGTTTCTGTGAGTTTGAGGCTAGCCTGGTCTACAGGGTGAGTTCCAGGACAGCCAGGGCTACACAGAGAAATCCTGTCTCCAAAAAAAAAAAAGTTAACATTTCCCTAATATGGCACACAAGTTAAAGTACCACTAGCTGAGTATGACAGATGGCAGGCCCGCCACTGGGAAATAATACCTATATAATGTAATAAATGAGAATGTTTAAATGCTTAGCAGCAATGACTTGTAATTAATGCTTAGTAAGTGCTAATTATGCTGAAAATGGAAAGCAGTTGAAAAAAATCCATTTTCCTATTCATCTATAATAACATTCAACAATAGCCCCAAGGTTTTATCTCTTATGTCTTATAGGAATCATACACAGTACTCTTTAAAATATACCTTTTTATCCAGGCCCACATCAGATATAACAACAAAAACCCTCCCAAGTGATTCTAACATCTGGAGTTGAGGATCAATACAGTAACTCTTTCCCAAACACTATTATAATGTGTAAAAATATAAGACACTTGGCAACAAATAAGATGGTTTTCAAAGATGCAGATCCTAAAAACAATGAAATGGAAACCTAGACTTGTTTCTCAAATTTTGAAAAACATTTCAAGATTCAGAAAACATACCAGCAAGAAAGGAAATATAATATGCAAAATAATAATCAAAGATTCATATGCTTTTAAAACAAAACTCAAGTAGCTCAATAACCACAGGAAGATCTCCCTTCCCTAGCTTAGGGTCTCAAAGAAAGACTAACGCACAGACATTTTAATTATTATTTAATTGTGTGTAGGTCAGAGCAGTGTCCGTCAGATGCCCTGGAGCTGGATTCACAGACAGTTGTGGGTTGCCCAACGTGGGTGCTGGGACTCCAGCTTGGGTCATCTGCAAGAACCAAATGTACTCTTAACCACTGAGCCAGTTCTCCAGCCCAGCCTCCCTACATGTTTCAAGGAATTTTCTCTCATCTGCTTTAAACAAGGGGTGGTTCCAATAATAAAATCCCAGAAATACAAAAACTTTAAAAATTGACCCATTAAATAGGGGGAAAAAACGAACAGAATGTTTTCATGTGTGCAACTAATCAATAAATAAATGACTGGGGGATTCTGACAAACATCCCTAAGTAGCATTATTATGTCAAAGAAAAATAATTTCTGAAGAGACACCACACTAAATTGCTCTTCCAGAAATTATCAGAAAATGTACTGCAAGATCCTGGTAGACAAAAGAACCAAAGTAAATCCTAGAGCATTCCACTGACAGGAGGAAAACGGAAGATCCCCATAAAATGCTCCATAATTTAAGGATAAAATCTACTTTTTAAAGTTACTTTTAGAAAAAAACAGATTCTCCACCATACTGTTCTTGTCCTTAATCCCTACAGATATTCTCTTAGAACCTGCCAAGGTCAGCAAACAAAAGGAAGAAACAGTATGAGAACATTAAGGTAACAGTGGGGGGGGAGGGGTCAGTCAGGTAAGAAAAAGCAGGAAGACATTCATATAGTTTAAAAGACAGAATTTTTTGAGAGAAAGCAAAACATACATTTTTTTTTTTAATCTCACCCTTGGAACATCAATTCCAAATACTTCCGGCTTTCACTCTACCCAAACACTGGAACAATAAAGTTTAGAGGGTTAAAGTTACAAGTATGACAAAGCACGTTAAGTTTAAACATTGCAAAAACAAATAATGGTATCTCTGTATATTTAATATCCAAATCTTCCAAGAAATTGGAAGGCATTTTTACTGAAGCCACAATGGCAGCCTGGTGATTCAGTAGACTAAAACGATCTAAAGAAGAGTTTGTAGTCTCTATTTTTCAGCTCAAATGTACGGGTTAAAAAGGCAACCTAGTCATGGTTAACCAGCCCTTATAATAAAGGGAGCTAATGAATTCTATTAGATACCGGCTGTAAAGTTTCCACATTGGTACACCTAAAATTCTTAAGTGAAATTACACAAAGGATACATATGGAAGGCTGATGAGTTTTAAGGTGAAAAAAAATTACAAATGCCTCTCCTACCAACAGAAGCATGAAAATTTAACCTAAAGCCACAATTCCGTCACTTACTTTCAACGACAGTCTGCGGCAATTACACACACCTGTAAACTGCGGCCGTGAAAATTCAATTAACGGTGTAACTACACAACTTCCAAAATAATAACGTGCTTAATTTAAGCACGCTGTATTGAAAAAAAATCTTAAAATTCCAGTCGCTGGAGAAACCCAAACAATAACAAAACCCCAGCTCCCCACCTGTTTAAGTTAAATATTTCACAATGAATGAAAAACAAACCATTTATCAAGCCCGAAGCCTCCCATCACAAGCATCTGAAGGTTTTATTAGTCACAGACTCGCACATGCTAATATTTTCTTTTTTTCTTCTTCTTCAGGAACAGTTAAAAATAGAAAGGTGGTAGGTCTGCTCTCCCTTGGAAGCGATTTCGGCATCAAAACATCCTTCCTGGCCTTTGGCCCTGAGCAGATGCAGGGGGGTGAGGAGGTGTGGGAGCCCGATAACCGGCGCACACTTCCCAGGGCACGGGGCCGCGCGGGGCGACCGCGGGTTATCACCCCAGGGCGGAGGGGAGGTGGACAAGTCGGCAGGCCCGATAGCCAGGCGGCGCCGGGGCCTAGCTCTCCCGCTCCAAATCACTCCACCTCAGTAATGGCGTTCGGTGTCAAGTGGAACGGGCTGGGGCCGTCCGCGGCGGGGTTAAGGGGCGCGCGAACCCACCCCAC